GGTAAATTAAAAAAATTTAATTATCGTGTTAAGTTTAAATCTTAATTTTTGTGTGCTGTTTTTAATTTTTGCAGGTGTGGAAAGTGAAGAAGGCCTTTAAAATCCAGGTTTTCTGGAAGGGAGGCAAACCTACATTCCTGGTAGGAGTGAATTTCTATCTTTAAGCTCTTTTCACAAAGCAGCTCATGTCTCTTGTCTCATCACCTGAGTCTCCAGATTATTTATTAGTTGGGTTAAGTGAAAATTTCTGCGAATACTGTGAAGGATTCTTTTTTTTTTTTCAGGAAAATGTAAGAACTGCAGCTTTAAAATGGATGAACTAGTTAATTGTTGAATAAACAATATATTTTTAATACAAATCATCATTTCAATTCAGTAATATTAACAGCACAATTTTACTTAAAGGATATTTGATTAGCTTTGATGTAAGTTTTATGCAGATGTAGTTTGTTGCTGTTAAATGCATAAAGTCTGTTTTTGTTTTTCTTTGTCACAGTTTGGAAAACTTGATGAGTCAGAAAGAAGAACAGAAGAATATGATACTCTGGTAAGAGATGGATGACTCACTCCTGCGGGATGCAATCCAATAACAAGAGCTTTTAGGCTAATTTCTGTATTTTGTTCTGGTTTTGGCTCAGGCCATGAAGTATCTGTCATAYCTCCTGTACCCTCTGTGTATCGGAGGAGCAGTTTACGCTCTCATTTTCCTACGATATAAAAGGTGGGGGTCAGAGCGTACAAACAAAAGTTACTTTTTATTCATTCGTAACTCTAAATTAATCAATTAYATGTTTTCTCTTTTAGCTGGTACTCATGGTTGATCAACAGCTTGGTGAACGGTAAGTGCGCTGATAAAACCTAACATGTTTAATTTAAATGCTAATATCTATAAAAACGATCCACAAACACTGTTTTTCCTGTAAAACATTACAGGAGTGTATGCGTTTGGTTTCCTCTTCATGCTCCCGCAACTGTTTGTCAACTATAAGGTGAGTTTTTTTTTTATCTTGAAGACAAATATTACTATTTGAGGTAAAGCAGAAAAGTTTTGAGCAGTAATTATTTATTCATACAGTACTGTTAGAAAAATGTTTTTCTGCTTTTATCGGTAAATTCTATTGAATTATTTCTGGAACAGCTGAAGTCTGTGGCTCACCTGCCCTGGAAGGCCTTCATGTATAAGGTGGGAATATTTATAATTATTTTTTATTAAATGGCTTTTTTTTAATTTTTATTTTTTTGGTCAAAATGATGCGTGCCCAAGACTAAAAGCTGTTTTTGTTCGTTTGCAGGCATTCAACACTTTCATCGATGATGTCTTTGCCTTCATCATAACCATGCCGACATCCCACAGACTGGCCTGCTTCAGAGACGATGTGGTTTTTCTCATTTACCTTTACCAGAGATGGTACACACACACACACATTGAAAAAACCAAAATAAAGTACATACCAATATTCCAGTTAACCACTGCCCCCCTCTCCCTCTAGGCTCTACCCAGTGGACAGAACTCGAGTCAATGAATACGGCATCTCATACGATGAAAAACCAAAAGGGAAGCCTCACAAGGAATAGAAAAAAAAAGATTCATCACTGACTTTTGTTCCTGCTCTTCTCCACTGAGATGCTGCTGACATCTAGTGGCAACGCAGGAAGGTTGTAATCAACTGAATATTGTTGCACATCTTTCTCCTCCAACAGCGGCTGCTACAAACGTAAAAAACTGCAAAAAGGAAGGCCCTCTGTTTCTGCCGGTGTTTGGTTTGTCTAATCGTGGCAGAGCAGCAAGGTGGACTAAAGGATCTACACAGTCAGTACATAGAAAATATTATATTTGAGTTCTACTCTGATTAAAACAGCTACGGACATTGATTTTTGCTTCCTGCAAGGCCACAGTGATAAACGATACACTGCAGCTTTTGCTAACATTACCTGAGCTGAGTCCAGTGGGTTCAGGATAAAAAGGGTTTTTAAAGAAGATAATGAGGTTAAAAGTTTCTGCTGGTTTGGCCTTTGTGCAGCGAGGAGGTTKTTTTTATGTGTTGCAGTGCATCATGGGACATGATCTGTAAAGCTAAACTGTGGTCCTGTCAGAGCTCATGCAACAACGTGAACTGACAGGAAGTCATTTATTCATTTGAACACAGTTTGTGTTACAGTTTCCGTCTGATTAATAAAAAAAAATTCAGTAATGTCGTAGATAATAATTGCAAATTTTTATCTTGGGACCAATGCTGGGGAAAAAAATTCAACGTAAAATTTAATAGAAAAAACAATTTGTATATTTAAAAGATCTGAGATTGGAACCTCTTTTCAGTATGAGTAAACTAGCAGGTTGAAGGTTTTTTTTAAATATATTTTTGTTTAAGCTCATTTGTTGCCATGCAGAATAATTAAATTAGTTTAACATTCCACATTTTTACTTCAGAGTTCCAGTGATTTTCTATCCTGTAAGCTTATTTTTATTTCACTGTAAACAAACAAGAAGGTCCACTGAGCTATAYTGTTTTCTACATTCCTCTGGTTTTGAAGTTTCACAGATTTGAGTGTTTTTATTTTTTTAAGGGGGTGATTTGGTTTGTTTTCTTACACGTCTGCGCCAAGAAATTATATTAGTGCCAAAAGTACGAGTGATTATTTTGAACGGTTTGTGAGTTTTTAGTTCTGCAGCTCTGATTTCATGTAATGTTTGAAGTAGATAACTGACATTTTGAAAGAAACTGTGATTGTAAGACGTAAGGAAAGTATTAAAACCTCTGGATTTACACATCACGTTTTGATTTCCTCATGTAGTTTATTTTTAATTGTTTATTTTGAAGTAAAAAAGGAATTCATGTACTCATTATACTCATTCCAATTCGAGGAACTTTGTACAGAAAAGAGCCAGTTTATAATTTGTGCTTCAAGCTGAGTGTGCTGGAGCAAATTTGCCAGGATTTGTCTTTATATAAATGTTTAAATTTATCATTTTTGTGTTTTTTGATTGAAATAAAATAAAAAGAAGCTCAAATATCAAAATTGTCTGTTGCAACCTTTTTTTGAATGCACCTGAAAAGCAAGCATTTTATGTTATGTAAAAWAAATATTAAGGTAATTTCTTTGTAGCAGCATTAATAAAAAAGAAAAAAAATCCTGATATACTGTATATAACTGTTGGGGAAAAAACATAAGCTGGCCATAGGTACTTTATTCCTGGGGAAATTCATCAATCAAAAAGTACAACAATGTATTACAAATTAATTACGCTAATTATTACATTATTTGTACTGCAGAAATGCACAGACTATATTTATTGTAATATAAACATCAAATAAATTTGCTCTAGATGAATGGTGCCTTCTCGTCTCCTACTTTACGTTTCTTGCGTCACTGCGTCATATTCACGCATTTCTGACGCACGTATATATACTTAGAGCCCGCCTTCCTCTCGCCCCTTTCCGCTGTAGGAAGTTAACGTGCCTAAGGTGCTTGGTTCTTCATCCGAAGCTAAGGCCCTCAATCCGGCGACTAGCACCGTCAAATTTAGGCATCCGACGCCACAGTTATAAAATCCAACAACTACAATGGCCTCCGTGTCCGAGCTTGCCTGCATTTACTCCGCTCTGATCCTCCACGACGATGAAGTCACCGTCACCGTGAGTGTCACTGATTGCACACATACGCACGATTGACCCGCTGCCTTTGTGGAAATAACGTGAAAAGGGCGAACGTCCAAAAATATTGTTGGTTCAGACTCTGTTTAAACAGTGTAAAATTGGGTTAAATAATAAATTTGGACCAGGACATGACTCCTGTTGTTGCCGACTAAAAATGGCGGTATTGCTAACGTTAGGCCATGTCATTCACATCTGTACAGCTGAAGTTTGTGTGAAACTTGCTACATTTAGCTTTTCTGCACTACTATGACTTATATTTTATAGCTACCGTGTTGTAAACAACATATTTGAAAGCAGCTTTGTGCTTAGCTAGCTTCTTAAGTGAAGTTAGCGACACTTCACAGCAGCGCTTGACACTTTACGGTAGGCATTATATTGTAGGAAACTACCACATGATACTCCATGTTTATCACAATATTACATCAATTATGGCTTACCTGATTGTGTGACACATAGATGCCAAACCTTATAGCATTAATTCCTTCATAGCATATTTATGCTTATCAGTAAGACAACTTTTGTTATGAACTTTTTGCTTGTTGAGCAGTTAAGACATGTTCAGAGGACATCTTATTTGTTTGTCATGTTAGTCCTAAGACTTAATAAAATTTAAAATGCTAAAAAGGTTAATTTTGTATGAGCTGAGACAAACATTGAAGTATCCTCATAGGTTTAATCAGTTTTATGTTTATTCAGTTGCGTTGTGTACTGACATAGTAGTTACATATGAATGTTGTGATTCTCACAGTGCTTGTTTTTGTGTCTCTAGGAGGACAAGCTGAATGCTCTGATCAAGGCTGCAGGAGTCACTGTGGAGCCTTTCTGGCCGAGTCTGTTCGCCAAAGTAAGAACACACTTAATTAACACACACAATTAAGAATGAGGTTTTTTTTTTGTAAACAAATAACATGACTATTTGTTGTTTTTTAGGCTCTTTCCAGCATTGACATCGGCAGCCTGATCTGCAACGTTGGAGCTGGAGGTGGAGCTCCAGCTGGTGCCCCCGCTGCTGGAGCTCCTGCTGCTGCTGCTGGTGAAGCACCAGGTGACTGGACGGCAGTTTTTATTATCACACACACATAGCTGTAGTAGTTTCAGGTTGTGCTTGTAAATTAAAAGGCTACCAGAACCTGTGTTTTATCTCATGTTAAAAATGCCTGTTAACCTTTACATCTTACTTACCTCTACAGCTAAAGAGGAGGAGAAGAAAGAGGAGAAGAAGGATGAGTCTGAGGAGTCTGACGACGACATGGGCTTCGGTCTCTTCGACTAAAACAGATGTTTTTTTGTTTTTTAAGAAAAAAAAACAATAAAAGAAAAAAAACTGCTTCTTGTTTGCCTGTTTTTTGTAAATGCAAAATATTTGAGTGCATTACGTTTCTGCTGTTTGTATTGTGTTATAGCGTGAAGATTAAAGTTTAATAGACTTGAAGAAACAACTAGTCTGGAGCAATATGGTATATGAGTTAGAATTTTAGTTTTTGCCTGTAGCTTCTAATTATACAGTTTGGTATTTGTTATTTAGTACATTATAATGGCAGCTTAAAATGGGAAATTTTCACTTGAAACGGTTACTAGTCGGGTTTGTTTTTC